CTCCTCTGTCCCAGCCCCCTGGCTTCGCGGGCCAGACGCACAGCTAGAGGGCGGAGGGGCGCAGACCCCTGCCCCGGCCTCCCTGCCTGGAGGGGGGAGAGGTGGAGGAGGGAGAGAATCGGGGACGGCCATGTGGCACGAACTGCCTGTCCCCAGGCAACTATGACAAAAACGCGACAGCAGTGGAGTGCGGGCAGGAATGCTGCCCCAGGAACGGGGTTTCCCACAGATGCCCCTGCGGACTCCAGGGCACGGCTGGCCTCTCCCTCGGACTCATGCTGCTGGGCACCCAGTGGCTAGCCCAGGCCTCCCACATGTCCCCCGCGTGCCCCTCAACATCCAGAAACCCAGGAGCCCCTCCTGCAGGAGGAGACTCACCCACGAGGGGCACAGGCCTAAGGATGCCCCCAGCACAGAGGACACTCAGGCGGCCTGAGAGAGGGCACCTGTCAGCCGGACAAGGTGGGCTGGGGTGCCACTGTGCCCTGAGCCTCAGTGACATGCGGTTATAAACACCCACCTCACTGACCGCGGTGAAGGACAGACTCTCAACACCTGTTATCTACAGTGGTGGTGATGGTGGTGATGGTGGTGGTGATGGTGGTGCTGGTGGTGATGGTGGTGATGGTGATGGTGATGGTGGTGATGATGGTGATGGTGGTGATGGTGGTGGTGGTGATGGTGATGGTGGTGATGGTGATGGTGGTGATGGTGATGGTGGTGATGGTGATGGTGGTGATGGTGATGGTGGTGATGGTGATGGTGGTGATGGTGATGGTGGTGATGGTGATGGTGGTGATGGTGATGGTGGTGATGGTGATGGTGGTGATGGTGATGGTGGTGATGGTGATGGTGGTGATGGTGATGGTGGTGATGGTGATGGTGGTGATGGTGATGGTGGTGATGGTGATGGTGGTGATGGTGATGGTGGTGATGGTGATGGTGGTGATGGTGATGGTGGTGATGGTGATGGTGGTGATGGTGATGGTGGTGATGGTGATGGTGGTGATGGTGATGGTGGTGATGGTGATGGTGGTGATGGTGATGGTGGTGATGGTGATGGTGGTGATGGTGATGGTGGTGATGGTGATGGTGGTGATGGTGATGGTGGTGATGGTGATGGTGGTGATGGTGATGGTGGTGATGGTGATGGTGGTGATGGTGATGGTGGTGATGGTGATGGTGGTGATGGTGATGGTGGTGATGGTGATGGTGGTGATGGTGATGGTGGTGATGGTGATGGTGGTGATGGTGATGGTGGTGATGGTGATGGTGGTGATGGTGATGGTGGTGATGGTGATGGTGGTGATGGTGATGGTGGTGATGGTGATGGTGGTGATGGTGATGGTGGTGATGGTGATGGTGGTGATGGTGATGGTGGTGATGGTGATGGTGGTGATGGTGATGGTGGTGATGGTGATGGTGGTGATGGTGATGGTGGTGATGGTGATGGTGGTGATGGTGATGGTGGTGATGGTGATGGTGGTGATGGTGATGGTGGTGATGGTGATGGTGGTGATGGTGATGGTGGTGATGGTGATGGTGGTGATGGTGATGGTGGTGATGGTGATGGTGGTGATGGTGATGGTGGTGATGGTGATGGTGGTGATGGTGATGGTGGTGATGGTGATGGTGGTGATGGTGATGGTGGTGATGGTGATGGTGGTGATGGTGATGGTGGTGATGGTGATGGTGGTGATGGTGATGGTGGTGATGGTGATGGTGGTGATGGTGATGGTGGTGATGGTGATGGTGGTGGTGATGGTGATAGTGATGATGGTGATGATGGTGATGGTGGCGATGATGGTGATGGTGGTGATGGTGGTGGTGGTGATGATATAATAGTGATGATGATGGTGGTGGTGGTGATGGTGATGGTGGTGATGGTGATGGTGATGGTGATAATGATGGTGGTGATGGTGATGGTGATGGTGATAATGATGGTGGTGATGGTGATGGTGATGGTGATAATGATGGTGGTGATGGTGATGGTGATGGTGATAATGATGGTGGTGATGGTGATGGTGATAATGATGGTGGTGATGGTGATGGTGATGGTGATGGTGATGGGGATGAAGATGGTGGTGGTGATGGTGGTGGTAGTAGTATTGCACTCTTCAATGAGTACAGGGAAGGAGGACTATGGGAGGGTCAGCACACTCTACCTCCAACCCCAGACTGCCCATGACCCCTCACTCCTAGACCCATCTAGCCTTTCTGGGCCTCAGTTTCTCCATCAGGAGGGTAGCCCGGGCACCACCTCCTGTGTCTACCTCTGATCTGGGCTCCTCCCTCCCTGCCTTGCTGCCAGTGCCCTGCCGATGGCATCTCCACCTCAGCCTGCTTCCCGCGGAGGCAGGGTCAGCCCTCGGACAACATGCCGCCGCCTGATGCTGTTAGAGACCCACACACGGGCCTGCCTGGGGGGAGTGGACAGAGGAGGCACAGGGAGCCTTCCATTGCTGCCGGACACAGTCCTCCCGGGTCAGCAGCTTCCCCTGTCCCTCAGGTCTTTCCAGGTGTGGAGGCTCAGGGAGGGGTCCCAACCTGCTCATGTCCACGCGGCTGCTAAGTGGTGGGGCCACGGTGGACACAGAATCGATGCCACACCACAGAGCTGCTCACTGTTCTGGAAACAACTTCTCCCCAGAGGGGCAGGCACGGGCCTGCCCTGCACCACGTGCTTCCCTGTTCCACGGACGACCGCCCGCCCTCTGGCCTCTCCACCAGAGGAAGGGAGACCCAGCCCGGCCACCCAGCCCCAGCCATCCCAGTCCCGCCGGTCACGACAAAGGCATTTCTTTTGAACAACAATTTTAACTCTGACCCCGGCAGGTCCGCCCGCTGGTGGAATGCAGGCACGCTTGCCCGGGGCCCCGAGACTCGAAAGCTCAGTGCGAAGGCCCATCCGTCTCCCGTGCAGAATGACAGCGGAGGGCGGCCCGAAACCCCCGGGGAAGGAGACCCGCCCCCAAGGCTGATGGGATGCTTCCCCCCCTCCCCAGCTTCAGAAAGTTTCCTCTGTGGTGAGACAGCAGGTGAGGCTGGGGTGGGACCCAGGCCATGTGCTCGCTCCGAGCGGGCGTCTAGGAGGCCAGCTGTGATCCTAGTGGCTTTGCAGGGCGTCTGCCGGCACCTCCACCCCCCTAAGGTGCACTCACCCAGGACCCACCACCTGGGACCAGGGGACTTCTCAGCCTCCTGCTGGAGAAGTGGAACATTTGTCACGCTCCTGCTGGACGGGCACTTCACAGCCCGGGAGCCAGAGGCCCAGCCAGGCGGGAGGGTCTCGGTCCCTGGCTCAGGACACCCCAGCCCAGCCTCTACCACGGAATTCTGAGTTCTAACCACTTGGCTCCCACGTAAGATTCAGGTGAACAAAGGGTCCTGAAGCTTAAAAGAAAGGAGACGGTGGGTGCGCCAGCCCGTGCAGGGCGCCCGCCAGGAGCCTGGAGGAGGGCCTCCCTCTGGGAGCTGTGGGGGGAAGACAGGGAACACTCTAGGGAACCCAGAATCGGAGCAAACGTTTCGGGAGGCAGCCCCCTCCCTGGCGACACCACCGATGCCCCTCCCCAGCTCCTGCCCAGCTCGGTGCTAAGCAAACACATGGGACCCACTATTTCACAGCATCAAATTGCCCACATAAGGGCCTGAGGCCGAAACGGCAGGTCCTGCAGACACACCCTGGGGACACGCCCTGCGGACACGCCCTGGGGACAGGCCCTGGGGACACGCCCTGCGGACACGCCCTGCGGGGCACACTGTCACTTTCCTGCCTGCAGCACAGCCGGGCTATTCTTAGTGCCCAGGGACCAGAATTAACTCAGAGGAAGTGCCAGCTGCCTCGCTGGTTTGGGAACTTCTCTAAATATAAGGCTCCAGCCACAAAAATCCCACAGCCAAGCAGGGCTCGGCAGCCTGGCGGGAAACAAGGGCTCGCACACCCCCGGGGCCAGGTGCCTCCAGGCACAGGAACTGTCCCCAAACCCCACCCCTGGAGGAAGGAGGCCTCAGGACAGACAGAGAGCGAGCAGGTGAGCAGGTGAGCAGGTGAGCAGGTGGGCAGGTGAGCAGGCGCAAGACAGGAGAACGCTGTCCACGGGCAGCACCCTGGGGCGCTCGAGCCGTTCCTGGTGCGGCCGTGGTGGGCACTCAGTGTCCCCTGCCACGTGCACGAACGAGGAGCTCCCCACGGGCCCCGACCCCGAGCCGAACCCCCCCTCCCCATCGTGACAGACCAGCCACACCCGTCCCTCTTTCCCGAGAGGGGCACCCCCTCCAGGCTCACACCTGGCCGAGCTCACAAGGCTCCCCGTCCTCCAACCACAGCCCCTCGCCGGAAACTGCCCCTCCCAGGCTGGCCTTCGCAAGACAACCAAGCCCCAGGGGCAGGTGGCGGCAAGCACGGACAGGCCCAGGGAGGAGAGGGCAGAAGAGGCCAGTCTCCCAGCAACCTCTCCTCTTGCTCACCTCCCTCCTGATGGCAGGGATTCCTGTCCTGGGCATGCCCACCCTGCCAGGTTCTCCCGGGCACCTTCAGCTACATGCCCACCCGGGACTCTGGGGCACCCTCAGCTACGTACCCACCCTGCCCGGTTCTCCGGGGCACCCTCAGCTACGTACCCACCCTGCCCGGTTCTCTGGGGCACCCTCAGCTACGTGCCCACCCTGCCCGGTTCTCCGGGGCCCCCTCAGCTACGTGCCCACCCTGCCCGGTTCTCCGGGGCCACCCGACCAGCTCAGAAAAGCACCTGTGTGACCGCAGGCCCCCTTTGAACAAGCTCCCCACACCCCCTCCACACCCACCAGCTCGCAGGCCCTGCCCACAGGGAGCTGGGAAGTCGCCCCCGCCCCCACGCCCAGGCTCAGGTCCGGCCGGGGCCGCGCAGCCACTCACCATGAGGATGCGGCGGTAGCTGTCCCGGTCGATGCCCCAGAGCTTGAGGTCGGTCTTGGCTTTCACGGTGGCCGCCCTGGGGGTGCCGTAGATGAGTGCCAGCTCCCCGAAGCTGCCGCCCTCGCTGATGTTGGTCACCCACTCCCCGTTCACGTACACCTGGGGCAGCAAGAGGAAGGTCACGGGACGCGTGGGGTCAGGGACCACATGGCCGCCACCGGGGGCCCTGGCTGGTGGGTGGAACGCCGTGCTCTCCTCCCAGCCCTGCTCAATCCCCCGAGGCAGGTGGCCTCTGGTCAGGCTGAGAGGATGGCCTGGGGCTGGAGGTGGGCACCGCCCGGCGGATCTCCACCCCGTTCCCCGTGGACTGGAGATGGGCCTCGCTGGCCTCGGTTTCCCTGACTGCACCCCGATGAGTCCCTCCCGCTCAGCACGTCCATAGGCAGGCTCCCGCCTCTTCATTCATCAACTGCCTCCTCTTCCCGCCCCGGGAGCCCCCCTCCCCCACCGCAGCCTGGGTCTCTCCCCGCTGTCCTCCCTGCCGTCAATGGGCCCCGCCAGGCCCCGCCAGAGGCCAGACAAGATTCCCTTTCAGCCGCGAGGGCGGCTGCACCGCGTTCCCCGTGCCCTGATCCCACTGTGCCCTGGCGCAGGCCCCGCATCCGAGCCAGCACAGCGTGGACTGTGGGTTACGCAGAGCGGCCCGCCCACGGCACAAAGCAGCTTTATTCCTTCCCTCCCGTGTCAATGGGCACGAAGAATGGCCCCCATTGGGGACGTGGGCGCGGCCTGGGGGGACTGGGCTGCCCTGAGTCATGGAAGCCATTCTTGTCACAATCAACGCGTCATTATCTTGGTGATAAGCAGTGCCCAGAGCTGCCCAGCGGAGGGAATGCCGGCAGGTGACAACGCCGCGCAGCAGGAGGGGACAGGGACGAGCCGGGAAACGCAAGCAGAGCTTCCTGCGGAGTCTGTGCGTCTGTCCCAAGAGCCCGACCAGGGGAGCCTTCCGCCTCCACCCGGGACCCGCCCCTGCTCCCAGCCTCCCTCAGCCCCCAGCGCCCTCCGCCCAGAGAGGTGTCGGGTCACGGCAAGAAGAAACACCAGCCACATGACAGGGCCTGAGGGAGCCGGCCCAGGCTGCCCTGTCCTCCCGGAGGCAGCTGAGGACGAGGGCCCATCCGGGGCTCCAGGGCAGGAGGGACAGCAGACAGCACACTCTCCTGTCTTCTCGGAGAGCCCAGAGCCCGTTTCAGGGGGAGGGGGGGCGCTGATGACAAGTCAGGGTGCAGCCCGGCGCTGGCACCTCGGGCCCCTCTCAGCTGGTCTTCCCGATGCCCACGCTCCCCGGAAAACCCGACCCGGAGCTGCACCCCGCAAACTCCAACGCGCACGAACCCCGGGTGTGCGGCTCCTCGTTCCCACCGCTCAGGTCACAGTGCGGGGTCTCCCGGAGCCCCTGCCAGGGACAGGTCCGTTAGGACCCTGGTGCATTAAGGGATCGCGCAGCAAATCCTCCGCTGCCCCCGTGTCGCAGGTCCAGCCCCCTCGTCTTCTCGGCCACACAGCGGGACCGGCCTGGGGGGATGGCTGGTTCCGGTTCGGGCTGGGACCCAGAACGCTGACACGAACGCCGCATGGGCTCCCACACCCCCCCGCCCCGCAGGGAAATTCCGGGGGTGGCCTTTGCCGCCTCCCAGAGCGTCACGTGGGTTTCGCTAGGTTGTCCCCGAAGGCCCTCGGGCCAGCTCCCTCGCGCTGTCCCCGCAGAAGCCCCAGCGAGTCTGATGGCACCGAGTCGTGAGGGAGACGCAGCTCAGGGGCCTGGGAGGGGTGGCTTCTCCCCTCACACCCAGGACCCAGGCAGCCACGCCCGGAACGGCTGCTGGGCAGGCCGGACGCCCCGTCACCCACCACACGGCACAGGGACCCAGCACAGGGGTGTCACAGCAGAGCCAGCATGACGGCTGCACCCCCAACTCTCCCAGGGCACATCCCTAACGGGGGGGGGGGGCAAGGCTGGTGCGGCAGGCAGGACGGGGACCTGGGCCCCGCGGGTGGACACCCAGAGCCCAGGACTGCACGCCCCGCGAGGAGTCAGAGGAAGGCATTGTGCGACCGGACGCCGGCCCAGCACAAAAGGCCGTCTCTCCCGGACAGTGGCCTCTGTCCCCTCGGCGTCCGGCCCTGCCCCAGCTGGCACGCACAGGGCTGCTGCTTGCTTTGTTTCATTTTGTTGTTTTCTTCTTCTACTTTTAGAAGAAAAATGGTGGGAGGCCCCACTCGGCCACATTTACGCTATCGCCGTTGACTGTGGCTTCTCTGGTCAAACCCAGAGCCCCCGCCCGGCCGTCTGCGTCCTTTCGTTCGTTCATCCCTTCATTCCTTCATTCATCCGTCCGTTAGTGCACACGGCAGCCCGAGCGCTGAGGCCCGGAGCCCCGTGCGCTTGGGGCCAGCAGCAGAAGGCAGGCGATGCCAGTTCCCGGGACACACTGCCCACCCAGGAGACAGGCTGTGGGCAAAGGATGGTACGAACACACGCGTACACACGAGCCAGGAGAGAACGGGGCAGAGGCTCCGGAAGGTCTTGCACAGGCTGTGGAGAGAGGGTCTGAGCAGAGGGCCAGGACACAGGCCTTGGATGCAGCCACACCATGTGGGGAGATGCCCGTGGGCAGGGAGAGCGTGGACGTTCCTCCGGGAGCCACGTGAGCCACGGGCGGCCCACGGGGCCCGCCA